AATGACTGCTCAAACTTAAAGTAAAAAAAATAATTCTGAATTAAAAAAAATCGCTCACTGATATCCAAATCCCTCGAGGCATTGTTCTGACAAAATAATTTTTTTTTAAGGATGAGTTTTTGTTATGTTCTGTTTTACTTTCTTTCAATTAACATTAATTTTTACTTAATTAACGCGAATCCATTGAAATACTAACACAAATATTAAATGTTTGAAATAATTATTATGCCACATACTATTATGTGAATAGTCGAGTTGCATTGCTTATATAAAAATATTACAAAAACACACATATATATAGAAGTGATATAAATATGTGCAGAAATTAGTAAATTGAATTGTTGTTTAATAAAGAACAAAAAAATAAAAACAACAAATTTTATTATTGTCCAACCCAGCACATAATCCTCGAAAATTATATTTAAAACCAGTGAGCGGAGCAGTATAGTCGGACGGGAACGACCATATGATACCCTACACAACTTCCACGAAAATCTAACTTTCTGTGGTTCTATATTCTGAGCTTGAGCAATATTATGCGATATTTGCACCCTCTTGACTGACTAGATGTCAATAAATATTTCTAATATTCAGTAGGGCTGTACTTGTCCAGATTCCCTTTACCGTGGGTTATGTTGGGCTTTCAATTGTAGCCTATAGATCGACTCAAAAAACACAAAAAAATAAGCTTCGGTCCACTTCATCCAAAAATTATAATTTGATCATCATCGAAAATTATAGGCTTTGTCCTTGACCATAATTGGAATCTCATGGAAAATTTCAAAGCGATCTGCGCTATATTTCCGCCTCTAGTGTGGTAATGTGTTACTAAATAAATCTGAGTACATAAGCACCTGTAAATATTTGAGTGTAACTCCCACATTTAAGGACATACGACCATATAATTGGTATCAATTTAAAGGTCAACCACTCCTCTTGAACATACTATCAACTTCTTGCCATTTATCACACAAAAGTCAGGGTCCATTTGACCCGCTAAATATTGACCGATCTTTATTAAAACAGGCATGCTTATTATTTGGCCCTATCCCCTTCTCCATACAAAAATTCGCGGTGTTTGGAGCGACCAGAAAAATCGACAAAAAAAGGTTTTTGGTCCATTTCATCCCCTAAATGTTAAACGATCTTTCCCAAAAACAATAGGGGTCTTCATTGACCAGAACCCATCCTACATGCAAAATTTCGTGAAGATTGGTCCATAACTGTGGCCTGTATCGTATTTACAAATTATAATGGACAGCCGGACGGACGGACGCACATGTCTAGATCTAGATGTCTAGACGCACATTATACCCTGACAACATAGTTGTGTAGGGTATAAAAAATGTACTTATGTGTACGAAAAGTACTTAATGGTACTAAATTTGATACATGTTGGATTTAGGTGAACAGATAGACCTGGATTCTTCAAATTGGGAATTAAATGACTGTTGCAGTGTTGGATTGAGGTAGGTTTGGAAATTCGTACCTATTGGTACGGAAAGTGCTAAATGGTACAAAATGTAGTACATTTTTGATTTTGCTTCAACGGATATAGCTGAAAACATAAAATTTGGAATTCAGATTACTGTTGAAGATTGACCTGTAGAGACATCTTTGGAAATTCGTATTGATGTGTACGAAAAGTACATAATGGCACTATATTTGGTACAATATGGACAATATGGATTTGGGTGAACGGAGATAGCTGGGAACCTAAATTTTGGAATAATGGTTGCTGTTGGAGTATAGAATTAAGATACGGAAGCATAGTACTTATGTGTACTTTATTTTGTACAACTTGATTATGTGTGTGACGGATTGAGCTGGACTTTAGAATTTTTGGAATAAAATTATTATATGGGAAAAAGTACTAAATGGTACCAAATAGTTTACAAATTGTTTTTGTATGAGCGGATAGGGCTGAGATTCTAAAATTTTGAATTAAAATTACAGTTGGAGTGCAAGATTGAGATATGTCGATTGTTTTGAAATTTCGTCTTTATGTGTACTAAATTTAGTACAATTTAGATTTAAGTGAACGTATAGACATGGAAAACTTAAGATTGGAATGAAAATTATTGGAATTTCGTACTTATGAATACGAAAAGCACTAAATGGTACTAAATATGGTACAATTCGTTTTGTTTGAGCGGGAATCATACAAATTGGAATTAAAATTATAGTTAAAGTGTAGGATTGAGACATGGAGGTAGTTTAGGAATTAAGGTAGTAGTTTAGGAAATTCGTACTTACAGCACAACATTTGGTACAATTTGGACTTTGGTTAACGGTTAGAACTCGAATCCTGAAAGTTGCAACTTAGGTTACTGTGAGAGTGTAGGAAAAATACAGAATGGTACAAAATCTGGTACAATTTAGTGTACAAAGCTGGAATTCTTAAATTTGGACTTACGATAGCTATTTTAAATCAGGTTTAGAAAAATAAGATAGGTTTGGAAAGTACAGAATTCTTAAATTTGGACTTACGATCAGGTATACGATGAGGTATATTTGGAAATTCGTACTTATGAAGTTTTTAGAAATGTTTACTTATGAGCATGAGAAATTCCAAATGTGAAACAATTTGGATTTGGTTGAATCCTGAGATTTCGGACTTTAGAAATTCGAATTTTTATGTATTAAATTTTCAGTAAATTAAATAGAAAATGCACTAAATTTGAAATGTGGTTTACTGACGGAAAATTAGAAAGAAGTGTTTGGTATTAACTGGTACTGAATTTAGTGGTGGTGATGAGGATCAGTGGCGACATTCGAAACTATAGTCTTCCCTGCCTTACAACAACAAATCACTCTCATTGCGGAAGTAAGTAAAAAAAATATCAAACGTTTGAGTAAAAAACTATTGTGGTATATTAGTTAACCAATTTGTATTAATAGTGTCAGGCTATTTTGCGAAAACAAAAACTTTTTTGTATTCCCTTTCCGCATACGAAGTAGCGCACATTTTGCTAGTTATTGTATAATGACGTTGAAATAACACGGCGTTGGAACTTGTAAAAAAATACTTTCATAAAATCCTTGAAAAAAATCTACTCCGTTTATAGTCCTGGAGAAAATATTTGATGAAAAAGTAACCTAAATTAGAGCCAATTCGGAAAAATGTCCCCAAGAAATAGTTGGTTCCGTATAATAGGGACTACCCGTTTCGTTCGATTTTAGGCATTTTTATACATTATTTCTCCACTCTTAAAACCCCAAAGTTCCCCAGTTCAAATGAAAATAAAATAAAACACCAATTGTTTTCATTTTTTTCCAAATGGATTTTTTCTAAAACATTTACAAAGGCTGCCGTTATACGGCCGCCCTTCATATTTCTCCAGTCGATCCACCAGACAATTATTAATACACGATTTAACATTTATCGATAAAGTGAAATCGAAATGATTATATTTTCTATAACGAACAAGATTCCAATGTCCACGATCTCCAATTTGACTATGCAGATCTTTGACATCATCGTAGGAGGCCAAAAAATCATTTTCAGAAAAATAGAATTGAATCGGTTCATCGGTTTGGATATTTTTCACATTATATAGTGGTGGCTTCATTGTGCCATATTTGCGAATATTAATTTCTGGTCCATAATCATAGGCCTTGAATTCACAAGATGTGGCCAATTGTAGATAGTGATTGATTTGTAAATTTGAGCCATCAGCTGGTGTGGTCAAAAGCATTTCCGGCAAAAGGGTCTGGGGAGGAAATAAATTTATATTTGTATTATAAATTGAAATTAAAGTTATTTGGAGAACTCACCCTATTTAAATATGGCGAATCCCAGCCGCTAAATGTATTTAATATTTGTATACAAAATTCCATAAGCAGGGGATTCTTACAAAATCCATTACCCGCCAGTCTAGCCAAACCAAAGATACCCTGACTTGGCAACATGCCAATAATATTTGCCGCCTGACTAGGATTACCTAAAAATTTCGCCAGCAATAGTACGGGAGGTGATCGTAGATGACACTCAAAAATTGCCGGCGCCAATAAATGAACAGCTTTTAATTTTTCCCCATAATTCGGCTTTGCTGAGAGTAAAATGGCAAAGATCAAGGTACCTTGAGAATAACCAATATAATTTAATCTTTTCTGATTTGTTGTATGTAAGATATATTCAATATGCGAAGTCAAATCTATTAGGGCAATTTCATCCATGGCAAATGACCAAAATGCTTCAGAGAATGGTGACAAGGTGGTGTGTCGCTGAGAATAAACATTACCGCGTGCATTACCCAGCCAAACATCATATCCGGCATCGGCTAGCATAAATGGCAGACCATCATTGGGCCCAGCCAGTACAAATATATCCGATGAACACAGAAGGCAATGCATCAAAAGTACCGCGGGTTTATTTTCCGCATGCTGCAATGTATCGCGATGAGAACTGGGTATACGAAATAGAGACAGAATATAACCATCACTGGTGGTTACTGTGTGCGTTTCACAAGGGTAGCCATGACGGGTGATGCGATCACACTAAAAAACAAAGATAAGTAAAAGAATAGATAATTAATAAACAAATATGTTTAAAAGTTGCAAGCCTCGGAAAATTATATTATTAAACCACGCCGCGAAAATAACATTTTTAAACTCCTCGCCTCAAAAAAATATGTTTTCTTTTTTTGAAATCCACGCCTATAAAAAAATGTTTTTATAAATTCACGCCTCGAAAAATATTTTTTTTTTAAATCCACCCCTCGAAAAATATATATATTTTTTTAATTGAAATCCACGCCTCGAAAATTTTTATTTTTTTTTTTGAAATCCACGCCTTGAAAAATATTTATTTTTAAAAATCCAAGCCTAAAAAAATATTTTTTTTTTTAAAATCCACGCCTCAAAAAATATTTTTTTTAATTTATATTTATATTATAATATTTTTTTTAAATCCACGCCTCGAAAAAATATGTTTTTTTTAAAAACCACTCATTGAAAAAATATTTTGTTAAAAAAATATTTTTTTAAAAACCACGCACCGAAAAGAAATTTAAATTCCACACCACTAACAAATATTTTTTTTTTTTTTTTTTTTTGAAATCCACGGCTTGAACATTTTTTTTTAAATCCACGGTTTTAAATTTTTATACCCTACACAACTATGTTGTCAGAGTGTTATAGCTTTGTGCAGCCCTAAAAGTTTGTAACACCGCGAAATATTGGTCCTAGACCCACCTTTAAGTATACTGATCGTCATATCTCGACTAGCTGAGTCGATCTAAACATGTGTGTCCGTCCGTCCGTGTGTCCATTATAATTTGTAAACACGATACAGGCCATAGTTATGGACCAATCTTCAGGAAATTTTGCATGTAGGATGTGTTCTGGCCAATGAAGACCCCTATTGTTTTTGTTAAAGATCCGTTAATATTAAGGGGATGAAATGGACCAAATACAAAATTTTTGTCAGTTTTTCTGGTCGCTCCAGAGGCCGTAATTACGGCGCGAACATCGGGAAATTTTACAAGGAGAAGGGGATCGGGCCAAAGAATAAGCATGCATGTTTTGATAAGGATCGGTCAATATTCAGCGGGTCAAATGGACCCTGACTTTTGTGTGAAAAATTACAAAATTTGTATTCTATTGTCTATATATTTGACCCTGAAGGACATGGACCCGAGTTGTTGAAGTTGATTGTAAATTGATACCAATTATATGGTCGTACGTACTCAGATGTGGGAGTTACACTTAAATATTTACAGGTACTTACGTATTCATATATTATTTAGTAACATATTACCAACCTAGAAGACGGAAATATAGCGCTGATCGCTTTGAAATTTTCCTTGAGGATCGAAAATATATATGAGGGCTATATCTAAATCTGGACCGATTTTCAGGAAACTTAACACACATCATTCTAAACCTAATTCAATTTGCTATGCCAAATTTCGTGCAAATCGAAAGCTATATAGGGCCTTTGGTACACAATTTACATAAAATCGGACAAAAATATATATGGGAGCTATATCCATATCTAAATTTTCCTTGAGGATCCCGGTATGGTCAAGGACAACGCCTATAATTTTCGGTGATGATCAGAAAATAAAGTTAGATTTTCGTGGAAGTTGTGGAGGGTATCATATGTTCGGCCCCGTCCGACTATACTGCTCCGCTCACTGGTTTTTAACTCTGTTTTGGCAAATATCAAAAAAAAATATTTTTAAAAAATCCACCACTCAAAAAATATTTTTTTTAAATCCACAAATCAAAAAAATATTAAAAAAAAATCCACAAATTTTATTTTTTTTAAATCCTCAAATCAAAAAAATATTTTTAAAAAATCCACAAATCAAAAAATGTTTTTTTTTTAATCCACGCCTCGAAAAAATATTTTTTTTAAATCCACAAATCAAAAAAATATTTTTAAAAAATCGACGCCCCTCTCAAAAAAATATTTTTAAAAAATCTGCCGCTTAAAAAAATATTTTTAAAAAATCTACGCCTTCAAGAAAATATTTTTAAAAAATCCACAAATCAAAAAATATTTTTTTCAAATCCACGCCTCGAAAAAAATAGTTTTAAAAAATCCACGCCTCAAAAAATATTTTTTTTTTTAAAATCCACGCCTCAAAAAATATTTTTAAAAAAATCCACGCCTCAAAAATTATTTAAAAAAATCCACGCCTCAAAAAATATTTTGAAAAAAATCCACGCCTCAAAAAATATTTAAAAAAAAATCCGCGCCTCAAAAAATATTTTGAAAAAAATCCACGCCTCAAAAAATATTTAAAAAAAAATCCACGCCTCAAAAAATATTTTTTTTTGATCCATGCCTCGAAAACATATATATTTTTTTAAATCCACGCCTCGAAATAATATCCTCATAAATCCATGCCTTGAATCCCAGTTTGTTGTTTTTATAAATTGCCATCGATTTTTGCCGTATCATTTAATTTTTTTTGTCTGTTTTTTATTTTAACACTTGAAATATATTTACGGTATTCAAATTCATCTGCCCGTAAG